GACACAGTGCTGGCATTCATTCCTGGGTCATTGGGATGGATTCTATGACATCCTCAGTAGACGACCACCTATACTCTTCTGGTGGTGGAATGTCAGCCTTTCCTTCGTGTGCAGAACACCACGTGATGCACTTGTAGGCGGGTGGTGGTGCTAACTCTGAATGAGTTATAGCCACATAAGTACCACCCACTTATAACCCCCCTTAGATTCATTCTGTACATATATACATACATGTTCATCTATTATCACCATCACTTCATTCTGTGTTCATTATATGTTCATTATATGTTGTCCTTGTCTGCAGTTGAATGTCAGCCAACTAACACCAACCTGATACCCTTTTGCAGCCTCTGTAATTTCTCCAGCTTTACCTGGACTTCCCCCTATCTATTTTTAGATATGTCCACCACTTCATGTGACTGAAGCATCTTGACTTCCTTTTAATACCTGTCAGATGCTACCTTTCTTCTGATTGGCCCTTTGGTCCACTTCTTTTAACTTCCTTTCTCACCTGCCCTCCTCGTGCATTCTGCATGAACTCTTTATGGAGGGAGGATTCTTCTTTACAGGTGAGAAACATTTCAATATTCTTATCTCTTTCCATCCTGCTTTGGAAACAAATATATTCATAGAAAGGGTATCACAGCTTTTCATTAAAGTAAAATATATTTAATTGTATTATTATTTAATTTGTTATATCTAAATATTTGCCAGCTCACGCATTTTGTGTTACATAAATTGGTCTTCAACCATGTGCTTCAACCTTGTGCTACCCAACATATCCCTATAAATTAATCTGTTTCCTTTTGGCTTAAATTAAATTATAACAATTCTGCATGAACTCTTTATGGTGGGGGGATTCTTCTTTACAGCTTCCCTCCCACCATCTACTCCGGAGGAATAAATATCATCATCATCCAAGAACTGCCTCATGTTTTGACTAGCAGCCCAGTGGCTGGACACATCACACCACGCCCGGCTACAAAATGGCGCCCAACGTGGGGATGCTAGTTTCATCAGCAGCATCACTTGTACAGTGAGAAGAGGCAGTTCATCATTCATTAGATGGAATTCAATATACAAGAGTTCATGCCGTTTCCAAGGACATCTTATACATTTATGTGAATGAATAGTTCATTCATCATTATGTTTCATGAAGTGTATGGACCTTTGAACTTTTGATTTTTTGTGTTTCACAAATTCAGGACATTGACTTTTGAGCCTGACTATCGAGACATTTGTGATCCACCTTGTATATTTCTATTTATCCTGTGATATATATTATATGTTTATCATGTTTACATTTGTTTGAAATTTATAATCATATTGACTTTTACAGAGTATTGATTATGGTACAAATTCTATTTCTACCTCATTTCTATGTCTACAGTGTTTATTTAAACTATATATATATATATAGTATAGATTCATTTTCATCTCACTGACAAGTTTATTCCGAAAAATTAATTGGAGTTCATATCTATTCAAAATTTCACCACTGATCAAAATTTCAGGTTAATATTAAGTGTAGCTGGTCATTATTTGACTTTGATTCCAAATTTATATTTGAAATTATTTAACATTTAACTTAAACAGTTCAATTTCAAAATCCAAAGTTGTTTTTTTTTACTTGATATATTTTTTGTCAATACTTGATATTTGCATTGATACCCTTCTTACTTTACCTGTGTCAGACTCTATCCTCAGTACTTCTTTTTCCATGCTGTTCCTGCTGTCTTTCCTTCCGTGTGGACATATCTCTCTTCAGCAAACCACTAACATGTTTTCCATAAGTATTTTGTCTTGTCTTGTGTTGTTTCTTCATTTCATCGTATACCATAACCCATTATAGGCTTCATCACTATCATCAGTCATATTAGATCTTCTGGTTGAAATATTTGAACACCATCACTGATTATGTCCTCAGTATTTCCCTCAATTGCATATCTATCTCAAGTAACAGTATATCTGTGATGTGAGATATTTGTATAGTTTCCCCTCATATGTAAGTTACATATGTGACAGTGGAGTTCAGTCAGTATCTACTGTTACATTTACTTTATGTATGTACAACTCAGTTGTTGCTGCATCTTGACTTATTTCCAGTGGTTGTCTGGTCTGTACTACTTGCAGTTACTGCTTGTATCTGGGATGACTTTGTAGTCGTTGCCAGGTTAGTCTCACCCCATAGTCTTTGCTTCCTGGATGATTTAATTTCCTTCAGGTGACCACATCCTGATTGTTGTTCGGCTACTTGCATTGCTATTGAACTTTGCTGCTTACCTGGGGTAGTGGTTAGTTCCCCTCAGTTGTAAGTCTACCCATATCACACCATAGTCCATCTTGTATCCTTGCTTTTGTAGGAGCCCTGCACTTGGTTTCCTAATACTTAGGAGTTTTTGCACTTTGCGATCGCCTCGGTTCATAATATCGTTGTTGGGTCCCAACGTATAGGATCCTTGTTGCCTTTTTGGAGGTTTGTCATACTTGTATTATCATACACATCATGGCTCAGTCGGACAGTGATGTTAGATCACAGGTTGATCAGGTTGTGGATTTCATCCATCAGCTTGATCCCTCAGTCCGTACTAGTTTACTCTACCGTCTAGCAGATGACGCTAATCCACATCCACCTCAGACCACTTATGTAGCTGATGTTGGGTCTGGAGATACGTTGTTTCGGCCGCATGTGCCTCCACCTCCTGTGGATAGCCAAAGGGTTGTTCCCCAACCATATACACCTGGGCTACCGTGACTGCTAACACATTCACCTCTGGGGTCTCCTTTGTTGCCTGATGTATGGTCACCCATGGAGCCTTCCCAGCGGACAATACCCCCACAAGACCATAGCCCTAGGATAGAATTGCCGAAATCTTTGCCAAGGCCCTACAGGTCACTCTTCAGTTATAACCAACCCCAGGGTTCATCAACCCCTTACTCACAGCAGTCGCGTGTCATTACACGTCCGACTGGGGCACCAAATGAGGCTTGGCCCAACAGACATGTACCCATGCCCATTCTATACCCTGGGTACATTCCAACTGCTCAGCCTAGTCAGTTCCTGGCAACTCCGCATTCCACTATGCCCATATCACACACCTCGTACATGCCAATAATCAATGCACCAAGTCCCCGGTTGTCAACATTTTCAGGGGATAGGGCAAAGGGTGATGTGAAATATAGTGCGCCTTGAAATATTGGGGTGTCGACGTGAAAATGCTCACTCTGACACCGCCATATTCAATGCGATGCGGAGAGCAGCCAAGGGTTTTGCTGCAGATCTTCTCAGTGGTTTCCCTGCTGAGGCAACCCTTGATTCTGCCTTAGAGCAGTTGGACATTGTCTTTGGCAATGTGATGCCTGGCGAGACGCTCATGGAGCGCTTTTACACAGCTCGCCAGGAAATAAACGAGTCTGCTGCAGCTTGGAGTTGTAGACTTCGTGACTTGATCATAAAGATCGAAGTTTTAGGAATGCTCCCACCAAATGCTGCCATGACCTTGCTTCGAAGCCATTTCTGGATGGGGTTGTCCCAGGATGCTTTGAAGCAGGCAACTCGTCATCACTTTGACTTTGGTCTCGAGTACAGCCAACTGCTGCTTGCTGTAGGTTGGGTGGAGGATGAACTGCTTACCCCTAAGGAGGCACATCAGTGTCCCGTTACCACTCCTGTACCATGTGGTCGGGAGATGGAGGATGTGCTCTCTAGGCTTAAAGACCTTGATAAGAGTCTAAAGTCTATCGGGGACAAAGTTCACTCTCTTGAGCTCAGGTCTGCTCAAGCCTCCTTCTACAAACCACCCACCAGGAGTCAAGGCCAAGCTCCCTTCAGAGGTGCCCAGACAAATAAACCTTTAGTAAAGCAGGTCGGTGATAAACCCCCTCCACAACAATCATCAGTTTTCTGTTTTGATTGTGGAAGGCCAGGGCTCAAAAGGGGTCACCAGCATTGCCCTGCTTTAAACTTCTAAGAGTCCCAGTTATGGAGCGGTCTGAGGACTCTAACCAAAGCGCTCAACGAAAGGTGCCTTCCAATTTAGTTGGGCACCCAAACATTGCGCATGTGAAGGTAGAGGAGCATGCCTGTGAAGTTTTGATAGATACTGGTTCAATGGTCACCACTATCTCTGAAAACTTCTACAGAGCTTACCTCCCTCACTTGCCACTCCACCAAATCAGCTCATTACTAGAGGTGCATGGAGCTGGGGGAGCCAAGCTACCCTATTTGGGGTATGTTGAGGCTACGATTGCTATACCCCCTGACTTCATGGGTCAAGTAGTGGAGGTACCCGCACTCATTCTTCACTACCGACTTCATCTCTAAGGTACCTCTTATCCTGGGGACCAATGTCCTGCGTGCTGCTTGTGAAAGCAACCCTGGTGTCAGGGTATCTGGGTGTTCTTCTCTTTGGACCATGGCTATTCAGTGGCTCAGTAGCCGTTGGAATGACCTGAACCGAACTGAGAATGTGCGGACAACTAAATCTATAACCATACCCCCGTCTTGCAACCAGATTATAACAGGTATTTGCAGGGGTAGTGCTCCACAGATTGGTATGGAGTTTTGTGCCACACAGTCTGTTCTTCCTGGTTCACTTACAGTCGTTACTGGTGTTGTTGGGTTTCAGTCTACCCACTCAACAACACGGGTCAAGGTTGAGGTCACTAACCCGTCCACCAAGGCTGTTACAATTCCAGCCAAAACAGTACTTTGTCATTTGGAACAAGTTGCTGTGTTGGACGGCTTTTCCCCTGAGGATGGCATCAGTAATACTGGCTCTGTACCTACCAAACTACCCAAAGAGTTATTTGAACTGGACTCTCTGGGTGATAATCACACTCCAGATGAAATAACTCAATTGCGCTCTCTACTGAATGAGTTTGATGATGTGTTTAGCAAGTCTGATATGGACATGGGACATACTGACTTGGTCACCCATTGAATAGAACTCACAGATGAGACTCCATTTAAGGAAAGACATAGACGTATTCCGCCCTCTATGTATCAAGAGGTCAAGGACCATATAAAGCAGATGTTAGATGCTAAAGTTATCCGTCCATCTGCTAGTCCATATGCCTCGCCTGTTGTCCTGGTATGCAAACATGACTCGAGTCTGCGCTTCTGTATTGACTATAGAAAATTGAACAGTCGCACAATTCGAGATTCATATGCTCTACCAAGGATAGAGGGTACTCTTGATGCTTTACACGGGGCAAAATACTTCTCTTGCCTTGACCTTAAGAGTGGATATTGGCAAGTCGTAGTGGATGAGGAGCACAAGGCCCGTACTGCCTTTACTGTTGGCCCACTTGGGTTTTACGAGTGTAACTCTATGCCCTTTGGACTGACAAATGCTCCAGCTACTTTCCAACGCCTGATGGAGAGGTGTACGTGCGACATTCATCTTCTCCAATGCCTCATTTATCTCGATGACATCATTGTGTTTTCTAAGACCTTTGATGAGCATCTTGAGAGATTACAAGCAATCTTTCAAAGATTGCACAAGAACGGGCTCAAGCTAAAGCCGTCAAAATGCCAATTCTTGCAGACCTCCGTTAAGTACCTAGGTCACGTAATCTCCGAGGAGGGTATCCAAACAGACCCTGAGAAGATTGAAGTATTGAAGACCTGGCCAATTCCACGTAATGTCGAAGATGTTTGTCGTTTTCTTGGATTCTCCAGCTACTTTAGACGTTTTGTTCCAGACTAAGCTAAAGTTACCAAGCTACTAACCAGTTTGCTTGCTGGACATGGCGGGAGATCCAAGCGCAAGATCAACAGTCAGCTTTCAGTGAGCTTATTAGCAGGGTTTCTTGTGCTCCCATTTTGGCTTTTGCTGATTTCACTCTGCCCTTTGAATTGCACATTGATGCAAGTGGGGATGGCTTGGGTGCAGTACTGTACCAATCCCAAGACAATCAAAGGCGAGTGATTGCCTATGCAAGTCGCAGTCTCAGCAAAGCCGAGCGCAATTACCCTGCTCATAAGTTAGAGTTTTTGGCTCTAAAATGGGCTGTCACCAAGAAGTTTCATGATTACTTGTATGGCAACTCATTCACCGTAAAGACTGACAATAATCCTCTCACCTATGTCCTAACTTCTGCTTAGTTGGATGCAACTGGTCATTGCTGGCTCGCAGAACTTGCTACTTATGACTTCTCCCTTGAGTATGTTCCGGGTGCAAGGAATGTTGATGCAGATGCTTTGTCCAGGTTGCCCGTGAGTCCATGGACATTCAAAGTGTGTCTGCTCTCTGTAATGGGCAACTCATCTCATCATGTGCCATGGAGACACTCTCCCTCAATCAGGAGGTGATGAATTGTATGTTGGCGGTCGATGGTATGGAACCTTCTGACGATGTCGCTAGCCAACGGATGAGAACATATCAGCAAGCTGATTCCTCAATCTGTTCGATTTTGGACCTCATCAGTAATGATACCCGTCCAACCAAGGAGGCTCCTAAATCCATGGACTGGGACACTGCATCTTTTCTCAGGCAGTGGGACTCACTCACTGTCAAAGATGGCCTTCTCCACAGGCAACAACTTTCAGATGGTGTAGTACCCTACTATCAACTGATTGTTCCTCAGTCTAAAAGAGATGAGGTCATTACCCATCTACATGACAGCATGGGACATCTTGGTAGGGACAGGACCGTTGCTCTTCTCCAGACACGGTTTTACTGGCCGGGAATGATCACGGATGTGGAGAAAAGGATTCGCTGCTGCCAGAGGTGTATACTTCGTAAAGCTCCTAACCAAACTGAGCGTGCACCATTAGTTAGCATCCAAACCACTCAACCTATGGAGTTGGTGTGCATGGACTATCTCAGCTTGGAGCCCTCCTCTGGTGGTTATGAGAATATCCTGGTCATTAAGGACCATTTCACCAAATATGCTGTTGCCATTCCCACTCGCAACCAAACGGCACGTACTACAGCCAAAGTACTGTTTGATCACTTCATTGTTCACTATGGCATTCCAGAGAAGTTGCACTCTGATCAAGGCCGGAACTTTGAGAGTGATATCATCAAACAGCTGTGCAGCATATTGGGTATTCTCAAAACGTGGACCACTCCGTATCATCCAATGGGTAATGGTCTATGTGAGCGGTTTAATCGGACGCTCTTAGGGATGCTCGGCACTCTGGAGGAGCAGCAAAAGGCAAAGTGGCCAATATTTCATCACCAGCTTATACGCAGTTTGCTGCTGATGTAGAGTGCAAATTACACACTTCATATGAGCTTGCAGCTGCAAACCTTGAAAGGGCTCGGGCTAAACAACGCAAAGCCTATAATCTTAAGGCACGCGGAGCCACAATCAAGGTTGGTGACGTTGTATTGGTGCGTAGCGTCAACATACGTGGGAAGCAAAAACTGGCTAACCGGTGGGAAGAGGAGTATTACGTGGTTGATTCTCAACCTCATGCCGACATTCCTGTGTTTAAAGTTCATAAGGAAGGAACCAGAGAATGTTGTGTACTCCACCGTAATCTACTCCTTCCCATTGGTACGAATGGTCAGCCCATACCCAGGCCACGGCGCACATCATCGACATCGACAAAGACGACTACTACTACTTCTGTTTCAACACCATCTTCTGGCGAGCTTAAGGACACAAGTACTGACACAACACTGGAGATCTCAACAACCAACATGGATATTGAGAGTTCTCCTTCTCCAGTGTCGGTATCATCCCCAGTGTCAGCACTGCCACCAATTAGCCCGCCATTTGCAAGTGTGTCACCAGTAGTTTCACCATCCACACCAGCACCAACTGCACCAACCAGTTCAATCTCTGGCTCAGGACCGTCAACTCCACAGCCACCACCTCGGCGAGTTGGACGAACCCGAACAAAGCCAAAGTGGATGACAGATGGGCAGTTTGTGGTAAAACAAAGTTTCTGGGTGTGAGGATGTAAATATACACTGCCACTATTTAATGGCGAGGTCGCCATTTCCCAAAGTGGGGGTGTATGTAGCCGGGTGGTGGTGCTAACTCTGAATGAGTTATAGCCACATATGTACCACCCACTTATAACCCCCCTTAGATTCATTCTATACATAAATACATACATGTTCATCTATTATCACCATCACTTCATTCTGTGTTCATTATATGTTCATTATATGTTGTCCTTGTCTGCAGTTGAATGTCAGCCAACTAACACCAACCTGATACCCTTTTGCAGCCTCTGTAATTTCTCCAGCTTCACCTGGACTTCCCCCTATCTATTTTTAGATATGTCCACCCAGGGGTCCGGAAACCGTCATATGCGCCGGACATGTCCGATTGGGAATCTCAAATGTCCGGTTTAAAATATTGCTTACCGGACATTTAAATTTTTCTGTCCGGACATTTTAAAAAGTATTGTCCGGACATTCTTAAATTTTGACCAGACATGATCAACAGTTAGGACTGAGCAGTTTCTTTCTGCAGTTGTAACACAATGAAGATTATCTACACTGACAAGCTTTGTTTGTTTTGATTGCTGTAAATACATCGTACCTACAATGATAGTCCAATCGGTCAATCACTGTAATAGGCAATAAACTGAGTTGACACTGATTAATCGAGGATTAATTACTGAGAACATCTTGTTAATTTGAGTAAAATGTGTTTACAACTGTACATAAATACCTTGCATCATCGATGTACCTCATTATCCTCACAATGCTACGATACGTAACCTCAGACAAGAAGCGAAAGCGTGACGACAGCCAGTCGACCGATGCAGATCAGTCAAGCGGATCTGCCAAACCCTCAAAGTCTGAATGATGATTTTGTAAGTCGTGGCTAACGACTTTCACTTGGTTGACATACTATGAGGATTTGCAGATTTTATTGTTTTCAGTAGCTAGTCGTATATTGAATCTTGATTGACCGCCATTTTGCTTTCTGTGACGATCGATATCAAATTTTTTTATGGTCAATAATTAAGTACAGATGAAAAAGTATTCAAATAACTATTGTTATCAACGATAGTTTAGGATTTATGATTATATTATCTGTCTTGTTTTTAAATAATCTTTAGTTGAAAAAAAACACTTTTCCCGTGAGGTCACGTGATAACCAAATATGGGATAATAGTCTCGATCCAAATGTTACAACGCGTACACTTGAGCAGACTCATGAATATTAATTAGACCGTTCACAACGTTGACAGATCGTTATTTTAACAGAAACAAACGTATGTTTTCCATATATATCTAAAATGAAAAATTATTTGTTATTAATTGTCCGGTGAATTAAACAATTTAAATTGAAACAATTCATAATTCATCATATTATGAATACGTAACAACTTGTAATTTGTGTGTAAAAAGTCGTACTAAAACACGCTGTTTGAAGGGGGCGTGGCATAAATGTAAATGTCCGATTGGGATTTTAAATTTTCCGGACCCCTGTGTCCACCACTTCATGTGACTGAAGCATCTTGACTTCCTTTTAATACCTGTCAGATGCTACCTTTCTTCTGATTGGCCCTTTGGTCCACTTCTTTAAACTTCCTTTCTCACCTGCACTCCTCATGCATTCTGCATGAACTCTTTATGGAGGGAGGATTCTTCTTTACAGGTGAGAAACATTTCAATATTCTTATCTCTTTCCATCCTGCTTTGGAAACAAATATATTCATAGAAAGGGTATCACAGCTTTTCATTAAAGTAAAATATATTTAATTGTATTATTATTTAATTTGTTATATCTAAATATTTGCCAGCTCACACATTTTGTGTTACATAAATTGAGCACATGGTCTTCAACCATGTGCTTCAACCTTGTGCTACCCAACATATCCCTATAAATTAATCTGTTTCCTTTTGGCTTAAATTAAATTATAACAATTCTGCATGAACTCTTTATGGAGGGAGGATTCTTCTTTACAGCTTCCCTCCCACCATCTACTCCAGAGGAATAAATATCATCATCATCCAAGAACTGCCTCATGTTTTGACTAGCAGCCCAGTGGCTGGACACATCACACCACGCCCGGCTACACACTGGTGCTGACATCTGAGTAGAGGTTGTGTGGTGGGAGTTCCTCTAGGTCTCCAACCCTGTGGAACATGTCAGCTGTAAGTGTATAAATGCTAGTTGCAGTCGATGCTGGATTGTACATGTTGACGACAAATGTTTCTGTCTTTTTCATGTTGAAGGCACCAGTTTCTTCTGTTGGTTGCAAAAAATCTGGTTGTGTGATAAATATGTTCCAGGTCCACAACCTGTGACCGCATGGAATGCTGGTAAAGCTGCTTCAACATCTGGAGTGAGAGATTGATGTACATCATCAACTTGTATGAATAGAGGGTCCTTTGCAGTACCTGCACCCATCTATATCTGAGCAGAAAACCGATGTTTATGATGTATCAACGGTACTAACACATCAGTGTCTCGGTTGTAAATGACAATGTGGTCGTATACATTGCAGGAGGCATCCATGACATGCATCATCATTCGTGTATCTTCCTCTCCATGTGTTTATAGTAGATTTGGTATTGCTGCAGATTGATCTAAGGAAGATATTACATCATCATGGTATGAATCGAGGTGACAAGCTTTTGTCAGAGTTCATTGACAATCAATTGGCGGATAATGCTAAGAGTATTCATGACAAAATATCAGAAAATACGTCCAACAGTACATGTTCCGCACTGTACACCATGCAGGTATCATTAGAAGTCAACTCAAACCAATACCTTTAAGCAAGGAAGAAATCTTTTCAGAAGGTTGCTGAGTGCCACCCACAGTGGAAGAGAAGTAAACGTACCACGTCTTCTAAAACGAGCTGTCCCAGACCCCACCTTCCCTGGCAACACCAGATGGCCTACTTTGTACAACAAAGCTGCATTATCACATTTACTTGCAGATTCTCATGCTACCATCAACTGATGACACAACAAGCATTGTTGTTTCTGGCATGGCTCTTGTACAGGCTATAAGCAAACCAAGCAAATCTAGGACCTTTGGAGATTTGGCTGATGATTTCAATTGGAATGTGCTGAAGAACTTCAGTAAAACTTGTACTTAAGTCGATGATGTCTTTGACCAATATGTTGCAAAGACAGTAAAATCTGCAACTGGGACAAAAAGAGGTGATCGATCAAAGAAAATTCGAAGAATACTAGTAATAGATAAATGAGACATCCCTCTGCTGACTTCGTTGTCCAGTTTTATTGAAATGAACAAGCAAAATTTGATACAATTCTTGACCACAGAATTGCACACACAGGCACAGCATCTCCATCATAATCATCAAATCATCATCATTGCAGGTGGATTAAGCAGCCCAGATACAGCAGTATCTTCCATAGATTAATCTGAAGCTATGCCACATCTACTGTCAACACATAAAGAGGCAGATACACGAATGGTGAAATGTCATGGATGCCTCCTGCAATGGATACGACCACAGTGTCATTCACAGTCGAGACACTGATGTGTTAGTACAGTTGAAACATCATAAACATTGGTTTTATGCTCAGATATGAATAGGTGCATATCAGTTGATGATGTACATCAATCTCTCATTCTCTCAGATGTTGTAGCAGCTCTACCATCATTCCATGCGGTCACAGGTTGTGGACCTGGAACATATTTATCACACAACCAGATTTTTTGCAACCAACAGAAGAAACTGGTGCCTTCAACATGAAAGAGACAGACTCACTTGTCATCAAAGTGTACAATCCAGCATCAACTGCAACTAGCATTAATACACTTACAGCTGACATGTTCCACAGAGTTGGAGACCTAGAGGAACTCCCACCACACAACCTCTACTCAGATGTCAGCACCAGTGCATCACGTGGTGTTCTGCACACAAAGGAAAGGCTGACATTCCACCACCAGAAGAGTATAGGTGGTTGTCTACTGAGGATGTCATAGAATCCATCCCAATGACCCAGGAATGAATGCCAGCACTGTGTCTAGAATTGCTCACCTGTAAATGCACAACAGGCAGATGCTCTTCATCTAGGTGTAGCTGTGCCAAGAACTTCATGGGATGTTCCCTTGGATGTAATTGTGGTATGTCATGCCTAATCAGAAACAACTTACCTACCTCTCCAGATGAGACAGACTCTGACGGTGACTAGAGATGACATTATTTCACATCTTATTTTTAATACTTTATAATACTACAAGTATTCTCATGTTTGTTTCTTCACTCAACTAGTGAAATGCTCAGACAAAAGTGCAGTATATCTTCAATTTTGAGT